GCGCTGCTGGGCGCTGCCGGGCGCCGCAGCAGTCACTGGGATGCGCACGCGCACGCTTGCGCGCGCGGTGATTGGCTGGCGTGCCGCTGGCACTGCCAGCAACTGCCTCCGCTACTACAGTATTTAACAGTATTCCTTTATACAATATAATAAAAATAGGTAAATACTAAATGATGAACAAGAATAAGTAAAACTGTTACATTCTCTTATATAAGGGATAAATTTGTATGCTAAAATTAAATTTTTATTAGTATAAATATTTTAGTGAGATAATATATTAATTATATTACAAGCTAGCCTTAACATGCACATATTTAACGTTCTGGCTAAAAAACAACGCCGATTATAAGATGTGGAACAAAGCTTATAACCATATTGTTTTATAGACTTAACGTTGATTAAAGAGGTAGAAAATAAATAATAACCCTATTACTTTTTAGACTTAAACAGAAAAGACTGTGAAAATAACTCATTTAATATTTCTGTCCCGTGCATCGCACGGGGTACGTACTAGTTGTTATTTACAAACGATGTATTGACGCGTATCCTTCAATAAATGCAAATTAGACATGTGTCAGTATATAAAGTTATAGATGACTCCATAAAGGAATCATCCGATGACTCCATAAAATTACTGCATTCTAGATAACACTTTAATGTTAAGATTTTTATTACCTAATTAAATAATTGAAAATAGAAAATAAAAATATTCAATTACTAAATTGTCCTTACTTAAAATCTTAAAGAAAATAAGATTATAAAGTATTTTTATGTTATTTAAAATGTGAAATTATTCATATATTACTTAGATAGTTTTGAAAAAAAATAAGAAAAACGTAGAAGATGACATTTCAAATTGAAAACCCATACGAATTCAAAACATTAAATCGACTAAGAGATATTACTGCCATGAAAATTGAAAGAAAATGAGAGTTCACTCATAAAATTTGGAAAATGGAGAAGCCAGAAATCGTCGGTTGTATTTTTTGTTCCACCGCCACGCGATGCTGAAAATATAGTAACTTCGTCGACGTTTACCTGATTACTGGAAGGCGGAAACGATGAGTGGGACATATCGTTGGATTTTTTTTTATTTATTTATTTATGAAAAGAGCTTTATATAGATATATATTTCATGAAAATACGACTAGATTTTCGTGGATATTCCAACAAAATTTAATCCGCAATTCTTTGATTTTTTTTTTTATAAACGTTAACAATGATTTAACAAAGTCTGAGGTATCATATGATGAAATTAAACATGACAATAGTAAGATCGAATCTAGGACTTCGAAGTGATATATGATTTGTTAATATCCATCACTAGGAGGGGAATGACGATCGAGGACTAACTGTGGTGGCCGATGTTAGGGTATTCTGTATCAATTCAACTTTCAATTTCTGACAATACCATTTTGAATAAGGTTCGTGTTTTAGTCAAGTGTGTGTGTTTGCAGTTTATTTATTTATGCGAGCATAAGTTCCTCTATTTTACATTGTAGATAATATGATTCGATATATTGAACATAAAGATCATATTAGTGGTTTCTTGTAAAATATAAATATACGTTCAGAGTCTAGATGAAATTGAACTATCTATCGTGAAAGTCTGTAGTGTGATTTTGAGTTAATCGGCTTTTGATTAAAGAATTACACTAGTACATCTTGAGTGTATTGAACGAACCTACGGAGAAGAACATTATTTTATATTGACCAAGTAAATAATCTGGACCTCAATAATTGATGCGTTCTCATAACCCATAAGACAATAAACGGGTATATTTATTTAACACTTTGATATAGCCATATGAAGACCATGTCAACCCTTTAGGCTCTACTCGATCGGAAAAGTAAAACCGGTTGTATCTCGACATATGTCCGTCGTCATCCATAAGTCGACTTCTGCATAATCGACTTTCTACCATAATAATAGTTCAGGGCCTCCCGCCAGTCAACATCGTGGAGTCAACCTCGTACAAGGGCGACTAGCATAGGGTCGACATCTTCCTAAATGTAACTGCTAAATCAGGGCCTAAAACGAATCGTCGAGGTCGACTTCTCAAACCTCGAGTCGTAATGCATAATGACGACCCCACATACTTTGATATGTCTTTCGT